AAGATCCGTCCCAACCAGTGATACGACATGCGGTAGAAACTGGAAATATGGAGGTGAGGTTACCAGGGTTGGAAGTCATGTGGGTGGTAGCCCCGGAATCCATATACCAGTCGCCGCCTCTGGTGTACGTGTTGGGTGTAGGGGCAGAGTGAAGCGCCGCGAGGAGAGCCGGATCCCAAGGGGCCGGTGGGAGTGCGGCGGCCGCGGCTGGAGGGGCAGCGGGGTAGCCACCCGGGGCGGCAGGGTAGCCACGCGGGGCAGCGTACGGAGGGGCCGCGACGGGGTAGCCACCCGGGGCGGCGAAGAACGCCTGATGCGCGCCGGGGCGGGGGCCGAGGATCCCAGCCGGGAGGGGGGGCCGCGGCATGGGCATCGTGTACGCATGGACCACCCCCGTCCAAGGGTTGGTCGCGGCGGCCCAGGGGGCCCGGGGCAGCTGCTGCTGTGGCGGCTAGCGCCCCCCCCCCCCGCGCCGTGCGGCTGCTGCTTCGTGCCGCAGTGCCCCCCGCGGCAGCGATCAGGGGCAGGGGCAGCGGCTGGTAGATGGGCGCCGGTGGCGCCTGGAAGTACGATGCCGGCGGAGGCCGCTGTGGCTGCGGCACTGTGGGAGGGGCGGCGCGGGAGGTACCGCCGCGAGAGCCGTGTGCGTGTCCCGGGACTTCACCATCTTCATCCTCCTCTCCTCCAACCGAAGGTAGGCCACCACCCGAGGAAAGGTCGGGTCCGGGAGGAACGTGAGGTTGGAGGCCGCATTGCCAAACTCCTCGTTCAGACCGGCGGTGAGCATGCTGAGGAGGAGGTCGTCGGAGACCCGCTCCCCGAGGTCGCAAAGTTTGTTAGCAAGTTTCTTAAGGCGCATGCAATAATCGTCGATTGACGAGTCAAGCTGCTGGCAGCCAAAAAATTCCTGTTGAAAAAACACGCGGCGCTGGAGGGCGTTGTCGAGGAAGAGCCCGTTCAGCTTTGCCCACACCGTCTGCGCGTCATCAGTGTCGCAAACGATGGTGTGGAAGATGTCCATGGAGATGGTTTGGTACAGCCAGCGAGTGATGGTGGCGTTGATGGTCAGCCATTCGTCGTCCGTGTACATGAGGCCGGAGTCGACGGAACCATCAACGTGATCGATGAGGTGGTACTCGCGGAAGACGAGGGAGAAGTAGGTTTTCCAGGCATAGTAGGTGGAGGAGGCGTAGTCAAGAACGACGAGCACACAGGCGAAGATGTCGAGATCGCGGACGACCTCCACCAGGGGAGGGGCCGGAACGTTGAAGGGATTGGAGGGGAGGGAGGTGGCGAAGTGGGGAGACGCCATGGGTGCAGCAGTGACTGAGGGGAGGAGGGGCGGCGCGGCTGGCGGGGAGATGCGATCGGGTGGGAGCGGGTTGGAAGGAGGTGGCTCGGGGCGATCGGGTGGGAGGAAGGGAGGTGGCTCGGGAGGAAGGGAGGAAAGGAGGAGTGATGTGTGTGCGGCGGCGGGGTGAGGGTGCAGCGGCGGCGCAAGAGATGGCAGCGGCGGCAGCAGCTAAGAGCTGCGGCGGCGGCGGCTAGGAGCGGAAGCTAGGGTTGGATCAGAAAAAAACTGATACCATATTAAAGGCAATGCAACTCTCGATATATTGATCAGGTGCACGGTGCATGTATATATGGATACAAGGGCAGCCTTAGCCTTATCTATACAAGGAAACTAGAGGCGGGGCCGGTAGGAGATTATCTTAACAGATACATGCATAAATATGTTCAACAGAACAGTTGATGTGCGACACTAAGACAAGTCCCCTTTGTTACGGGAAGAGAATAGGGAGAATTGCACCACACTTTGATTAGTCACAGGCAGGGGTATATGTACAGCTTGGAGCGGCCACTGCCTAGTGGAGATCATGGGGTGAACAATTACCTTGGATGTGCGCCACTACCTGGCAGCCACGATCTAGAGCACGCGCGTACGCGAAGACTATACAGAGCGCGTACGCTACGGCATACAGTAGGCTAATACCCCCCCGCAGTCGCATCGTCAGCGGCAGCGATGCAAAGACTGGAGCGAAAATCAGAGAACACATCCGACGGCAGGCCCTTGGTCATGATGTCGGCGAGCTGTTGGCGCGTGGGCACATGGAGAACACGGAACTCGCCGAGGGCCACGCGCTCGCGAACGAAGTGGATGTCCAGCTCCATGTGCTTAGTGCGTCGATGGTGAACCGGGTTCGCAGAGAGATACACTGCAGACACATTGTCGCAGAAGACCAGAGTTGCCTAGGTGACCGGCGCGAAGAGCTTGCCGAGCAACTGTCGGAGCCAAACGCACTCCGCCATGGCGTTGGCCACGCCGCGATACTCGGCTTCCGCGCTGGAGCGCGACACCGTTGCCTGGCGCTTGGAGGACCAGGAAACAAGGGCGTCGCCAAGATAGACGCAGAAGCCCGAGGTGGAGCGCCTGGTGTCGGGGCAGCCGGCCCAGTCGGCGTCGATGAAGGCACGCAGATCCAGGGTGGCGGAGGCACGCAAATGAAGGCCGAGGTGAGCCGTGCCGCGGACGTACCGGAGCACACGCTTGACCAGCGCGAGATGGCACTCGCGGGGATCGTGCATGTGCAGGCATATCTGCTGCACGGCGTAGGCGATCTCGGGCCTGGTGATGGTGAGCTATTGCAGGGCTCCAGCAATGCTGCGGTACACGGAGGCGTCGTCCACACGGGGCCCGACTGCGGCCGGAAGCTTGATCTTGGTGTCGATCGGGGTCGGTGAGGGGCGGCATGTGTCCATGCCAGCGCGATCGAGAACCTCGTCCGCATACTGTTATTGACAGAGGAAGAAGCCAGCGGGAGTGCGGGTCACCTTGATGCCGAGGAAGAAGTGAAGGGGCCCAAGATCCTTCATGGCGAACTCGCTGGTGAGGCCGGCGACCACGCGGCGCAGCACGGCCGGAGTGGACGCAGTGAGCACGATATCATCCACGTAGAGGAGCAGATACGCCGTGTCCGAGCCGTGGCGAAGCGTGAACAGGGAGGAATCCGAGCGAGTGGCGGTGAACCCGAGCGTCTTGACGAAGCCAGCGAAGCAGAGAAACCACGCGCGAGGCGCCTGCTTCAGGCCATAGAGGGACTTGGAGAGGCGGCAGACGTGGTGAGGACGCGCACTGTCGATGAAGCCAGCGGGCTGGAGGCAGTAGACCTCCTCCTCCAAGGTGTCGTGCAGAAAGGCGTTCGAAACGTCGAGCTGGTGCATAGGCCAGCCACGCTATGCCGCCAGGGTGAGGACGGTGCGGATGGTGGCCGGCTTAACGACCGACGAGAACGTCTCGCCGTAGTCGATGCTGGCACGTTGACGAAACCCGCGCACGACCCACCGGGCCTTGTAGTGGGCGAGGGAGGCATCGGCATTGTTCTTGTGCTTGAATATCCACTTGCCGGTGATGAGGTTGGCACCGGCAGGCCACGGCACGAGCTCCCAAGTGCGGTTCCGCACGAGCGCGTCGTACTCGTCGTGCATGGCGGCGAACTAGTTGGGGTCGCGAACCGCAGTGCGAACAGAGCTAGGAACGGGCGAGGGCTCCATGGTGGTGACGGCGGGCGCGGCGTCATAGTAGCGGGGGTTCGGACGAAAGATGCCGCGCTGAGCCCGCGTGACCATCTGCCGAGGGCCCGCCGATGGTGAGGAAGCAGCAGCGGCGGCGGGCGCAATAGGAGATCCCGTGCTGGGACAGGAAGAAGACGCGCTTGGTGAAGTGGAATCGGAGCCGCTCGCAGATGATCAAACGATGGAGCTTGAATCCGGAGTTGGCGCGCTGGGAGGGGAGCGCAGAGCCGTCCGTCGCCGATCCCACGCTCATGGTTGAACGCGGGGGTCCCGCACGGAGCGAGGCGTGGAGGGAGCCGTCCGTTGCCGATCCCGCGCCTGTGGTTGAACACGGGGTTCCCGCGTGAGGCGAGGCGTGGAGGGAGCCGTCGGATGGTGATCGCACTGCCGTAGTTGAACAAGGCGGAGCGCGCGCAACAGAGGAGCCGCCGACGAGCGGAACCTGCAAGACAGAGGGTGACGGAGCAGGCGGCGCAGCGATGTTAGGGGAGACAGGGACGGCGACGGGGAACCCTGTTTCATGGAAGACCACATGGCGCGACGTGAGGACACGGCGGGAGATGGGGTCGAAGCAGCGGTAGCCACGGTGATCCGGGGGATACCCGAGGAAAACGCAGGCTGCAGAGCGTGTGTCAAGCTTGTGGCGTGAGATGGATGTGAGGTTGGGATAGCAGAGGCACCCGAACACGCGGAGCAGCGAGTAGTCAGGGGCGATGCCAAGCAAGAGTTCATGCGGCGTGCAGGGCGAGCTCGTGCGGCATGGGCGGCGGTTGAGGAGGTAAGTGGATGTGCTAAGGGCCTCAGCCCAAAAGCGGGCAGGCATGGACGCATGAATGAGCAGAGCGCAAACCTCGTCGTTGAGTGTGCGGAGAACACGCTCGGCCTTGCTGTTTTGTTGGCTCGTGTACGAGCAGGTAAGGCGGAAGTGAGTGTCGTGGCGAGCGAGAAGACTGCGGATGGTGGAGTTGTCAAACTCACGCCCATTGTCAGTCTGCAAAGCGAGGATGGGAAGCTGAAACTGTGTCTGCACATAAGCAAAAAACTCAAGGAGAATTTGGGATATTTCAGACTTGTTTTTGACAAGGAACGACCATACATAATGCGTGTAATCATCCAGGATAACTAGGTAGTACTGATAGCCAGAGATGCTTACAATAGGAGAGGTCCATACATCAAGATGTAAAATCTGAAAGGGAAACATGCTTGTGCTACTAGACGGCTGAAATGGGAGGCGGGTGTGTTTGCCCATACGGCAGGCATGACAGACATGGGGCGTGGTCTTGCAGAACTCGAACGGGAGAGCAGCAGACGACGCGCGCCCTGGATGACCAAGCCGCTGGTGCCAAAGATCAGTGGTGACGGAGCCAGCGAACCACCGTGAGGAAGACGACGAAGCACAGCCCACGGGGTAGAGGTCGCCACCGGAATTACAACGGAGGATCACCGCCTTGGTTCGAAGATCCTTGACAGATAAACCGAAAAGGTCAAACTCCACAGAGACAGGATTGTCATGACATAATTGACGAACATAGAGAAGATTTTTAATGATAGAAGGGCAAACGAGGACGTTGCGAAGTTGGAGAGGAGAGGTGCCAGCAATGAGCGAGCCTGTACCGACATGTGTGATCGGTAGGCAGTCACCACTGCGGACGACGACCTGAGAGGCAGAGAGATGGGGGCGAACAGAGAGGAGGTTACCAGGCGAGGAGCTCATGTGTGTAGCAATGCCCGAGTCGAGGTACCACTCCGGCGTTGTGCCAGAGGAAGACGGACCGGCGGTGGCACCGTGCAGAGCGGCCTGGAGCGAGGCCATGTCCCAGGCGGGGGACGGCATCGAGGAAGAACCAGCCCCAGGGTGGCCGTAGCCAGTGGGCGCCCCGTAGCCAGGAGCGCCGGTGTCGCCGTAGCCGTACGACGGGAGCGCGGGCTGGTGGGGCGCCGCGAACATGGCCTGCTGATGGGGCGTGCCAGGACGAGGGCCCAACACACCAGAGCCGGGAGCGCGCCATGCCACTGGCCAGGCCTGGACGAGGCCAGTCCACGAGTTGGCCTCGGGAGCCGGTGCAGGGACCGACGGCGGGCGTGGCGCGGAGATGGGCGCAGGGGGCGCCGGAACGGCGGCACCATTGCCGCGGCCACGACGACGGCCTCGCCCCCGCCCACGGTTGTTGTCGGTGGAGGGCGCGGGCGAAGGGGGCGCGACGCCGCGTGCGGCGACCAGCGCGTGGGAGGACTGCAGGCGAGTCGACTGCTCTGCACGGTGCTCCTCCAGAAGAAGGAATGAACGCACCTGGAGGAAGGAGGGCAGGGGCACCTGCGAGGTGATGTGGGGGATCGCGGCGTGGTACTGGCGGTTGAGGCCGCGAAGGAGGTGGAAGACCTGGCGCGTCTCCGTCACGGGCTGCCCAAGATCGCGCAGCTGATCGGTGAAGGACTTGAGCTTGGTGCAGTACTGCATCACCGTCAGGTCGCCCTGGACAAGCACATGGTACTCGGCGTCGACGTAGACTGCGCGAGCGAGGTGGTTGTCGCGGAAGATGCCATCGACCGCGGTCCAGACCGTGAGCGCGGTGTCCTCGGGCTGCATGACGGCGTCGAGGAGCTCCGGCGATATGGTGGTATAGAGCCAGTGCACCACGACGTGGTCGGCCATGCGCCACTCGGGGTCATCGTGGCGCGGAACCGTCTCGGAGTTGATGTGGTCGTGGAGCCCGAACATGCCGACGACGGTGTCGAAGTGGCGGCGCCACTGGGAGTAGTTGCCGGCCAGGAGGTCGAGCGTGACGGGGACATGGCGACGGATGTCGACGGTCTGTAAGACCGACGACGGCATGGCGAGGGCCGACGGGAGAGCCGGTGCGCGCACAGCGGGCGCGGAGGCGGCGGGAGGTGGGGTAGGAAGGGCTGGTGCAGGGACGGACATGGGAGGCACGGGCACGCCCGGGGCTGCGGGATGAGAGGCAGCGGCAGGCGGCGCAGCGGCCAGAGGAACGGCATGGAGATCGTCGGCATCGGCGGCCGGCGCCGTGGCAGCGGAAGCAGGATCGGTGGCCTGCGCAAATGGGTTGTGCAGCGTCTGATACCATGTTACGGGAAGAGAATAAGGAGAATTGCACCACACTTTGATTAGTCACAGGCAGGGGTATATGTACAGCTTGGAGCGGCCACTGCCTAGTGAAGATCATGGGGTGAACAACTACCTTGGACGTGCGCCACTACCTGGCAGCCACGATCTAGAGCACGCGCGTACGCGAAGACTATACAGAGCGCGTACGCTACGGCATACAGTAGGCTAATACGCTTCATGTAGTGCTCGTCGTCCTCACGCTTGCCGTGCTCGCCGCCGGCACGCTCGAGGTCGCTCCGGCCGCTGGCGAGGGGTGGGCTGCTGCATCACAGGACGACGGGCGTGGCCACCAACGCAGCCAGCGCGGACACGGCGACCTCCCCTGGCGCAGCGAGGGACGCGGGGGCCTCCCCTCACACGCCGGCGACCGAGCTTGCTGCAGGACTGCACGTAGGCCAACGAAGCAACTTGATTGATCTGTGCAAATACGTACTAGCAAAAGAGACCGCATGGCCGCTGCGATGGCCAGCTTCATGCCAGCGAATAGAAACAGAAGCCACGGAGCAGCCGAGAACCAGCGTGAGTCCCGCCATGCGCGCACGCCGCCCTCCAATGGAGCTACTCCGTGCTCGCGTCCTGCTGGCTGTGGCTGCGGTCGAGCACGAGCAGGTTGTCTGTGCACGCGCTCGCGCTCGCCTTGGTGGCCTCCTCCTCCTCTGCGGCTCTGCCCATCTCTACCTTGCGTGGAGACATGTCCGCCCGCAGCAGCGAGCGGCCGGGCGGTGTGAGGCGCGCCGACGGATGCGCGCATCAGGAGGCCGAGCTCCGCGGGCGCGCCGTGGCAGGGGAGATGCGTCGGGCGGCCAGCCACAAACGCGTTGACCGCCGGCCACATCTTCTGTGCCTCGACGGAGGGCTTCGACGCCGCAACCGCCACGTTCGTGCGCATCCACGACGAGGGTCCACTCGAGCGGCGGCTGGAGGCAGTGGTGGCTGCGCGGGGCGACGCGGCTTGGAGAGAGAGAAAGGAGGCTTGGCGGAGAGAGAGGACACGTGGTGTGTTTTTGTTGGCTTGCACTATGTTTGGACACTCGCATATTTCCATGTTTGTTTGAAATATCGAAATTTGGACATCGGACTGCTCCGTAGACAATACGGGTCCTCATTAGACTGCAAAAAGCAAAAAAAATTTTTTTGTACGGATAAACATATACCGGAGTTTTGCAGGTCCCCCTTGAGATGCCCTTAGCATATACTCCCTCTGGTTTTGAAATTCTTGTCATTTTTGACAAGGTCATATGTAGTCAAACTTTTAAAACTTTGACTATTGATCACTTTTGAAATATTCATTTTGGAAGTATGGAGATCACATATATAGATATTTTCCTTGAAAAGTACTCACTCCGATTACAACACTTATTTTGGAATGAACTCACTTTCTTAATAGTATCATATAATGGTTGGTTATATATTTATACTTCAATATAAAACTATAGTTAGTCATATTTTGGAGACTGTGTCTCTGTCCAAAACGTCAAGACCTTGTCGCATATTTTGGAAACTATAGTAGTTAGCCAAAGGAGTCAGCAACTCTTGTCGCATGGCTAGCTTGAAAATGTGGTGTAGCGATTCCATCACCAAGACAAACAAGCTAGAGCCGCGATAGGAAGTTGCCTTGTCTTTTTTTTTATACCTCTGCCGTTGAACAACGTAATGCCTGTGGATCCATTCACTAAGACCTGGGTTGTTGCCGGAGAGTGGACGTCCTGGACGCAGCGGCATATGGACGCTGCAATCTGACCACACGCTTTTCTCACAGCGATCTGCGCATGGTCGGGCGTTAATTGGCATTACAAGTAAAATACCATCATAGGTCTGCAGGGTACCTGACTTGGCAGACAAACTAGGTCCACAAAAAGGTTGACACGGTGTGCGATATTCCAATTATTTACTGTGGCGGGTGGTTGGAGGTTGTGGGTGATCTGCTCCTGCCAGCGTGCTGTCCTTGTCTATGCCTCGTACGCGCTTGTCAGGTCGCCATCACACTCATGCTTAGTACATCGGTGTACTGCTAATGGAAAATCTAGGCTTCGTGTTAAATTAATATGGAGTAGTTCTTATATGGCAGATCTCTAATTTTACTCAATAGCGGTCGGGCGCGGCTTGCACGAGTACCACGACGAGCATGAACACGCATAGCATTTTTGTGTTCTTGGTTCGCTGCGTGCCTGCGTACGTCCTGCAGTGCTTCCGCAATCCTGAACCTGACATTGTTGCCGCCCCCAGCAGTTTCGATTAGCAGATTGATGTCCACTCCTGTGATGAAGAACGTGTACTGATCTTGCCAAAAATCACATGGTCCGTGGTTCTGCACGTCCCAAACGGAAATGACATGTGCATGTTAAATCAACAAGCTAGTTACTTACTTGATTGATTCGGGCACTTGTAGAAATGGATGCGAGGGAGCACAAAGTTCTACTGGTGCGTGCTCTTATATAGAGCTGGTAAGAAGAAATTACGTCATACGCTATCGCCATGGCACACAGCAATGGTATCTGCGTTCATACTGCTAGAATCACGAAGGCCCACGCCTGGGGCAATTGTCGGCTCCGTACTGACATTTGCAGCATGCACTTGCCTTTTTGTCAGATTGTACTGCCTATAATACATATATACGCTACAAAACGATGTCTGACACTCATATACTCTAACTAGCAGCCTACTCTGATCCGAATCGCAAAGGCCTGCGCGTCGTCCATGGCGTGGGAGCAGATGCCGCTGCGTCCAGTGCTGCACTTCTCGTTGTTGCCGTGGACAACAAACCGCAGACCTAAGTGATCCACTTCCGTCCAACACCAAACTTACTCAACACTTTTGAGAAGAAACGTCCGGTCCGCCATATTGAATGCTTTCGAGATATCAAGTTTGATCAAACATCACTAATAGAAAAAAGCCCATTTGTCCCGGTTCCGGATCGGGACTAAAGCCCAATACCTTTAGTCCCGGTTCGTCTACGAACCGGGACAGATGGGGCTCCACGTGGCCGCTGCGGCTTGCCCAGGCAGGATGGCCTTTTG